AAAACACCACATGACGTGGATGAAATTGGATGTCTCCAAGGAGTGTAAAAAAAAAAAAAAAAAGGGGGGGGGGGACCAGGTTTGGTGGTCTGATAGAGCCGGATGGAACCACTGAGTCTATGGCTCCTAGCTACCCTTCAAATCTGGAATTGAACCCACTCCTGTGGCTTCCAGCCAAACAAAAGACAGGGGTATGAGCTAACATTTACATTAGGTAGATACACTCCTTGGAGAAATCGATCATGGGAGAATAGAAGGGCTGTGTATGCACAGGGAGACAGCTCAGGGTGCAGGTATGCATGGGAGGAAAGGCCACAGGAAAGAGGTAATTAACTATGGGGAGAAAGTAGGAGGGGAGCTGTTGCATTCTGGTAAATTGTAGTCAATGTTATGAAACAAAGTGTATGTGAGCTGCTGTATGGAAAGTGCATTTGCTCTGTAAACTTTCACCCAAATCACAATAAAAATTAAAAAAAAAAAAAAGACAAGAAGGAAGAAAGGATGTCAGAAGACACTTTGAAACTTGCTCTTAAACAGAGATTAGCTAAAGCTAATGGTAGAAATGACAAGATAAAAGAGCTGAACAGAAGATTTCAAAGAGCAGCTCGAGAAGACAAATTCAATTATTATAATAAAATGTGAAAAGATCTGGGATATATTACCAAAAACCAAAACCAACCTCACTGCCGTCCAGTCAACAGCAACCTCTCCTTGGGTTTCCAAGGCGGTATCTCTACAGAAGTAGATTGCCCAATCTTTCTTTCTAGGAGTGGCTGGTGGGTTTGAACCACCAACATTCTGGTTAGCAGTCAAATGCCCTACACACTACGCCACCAGAGCTCCTAGGATATATTGTTATTGTTGTAATTTGCCATTGAATCTGACCCGACTCATAGCGACCCCTCCTTGGGTTTCCGAGGAAATATCACTACGGTAGTGGATTGCCTAACCTTCATTCTGAGGAGTCAAACCCACCAGCCTTCTGGTTAGCAGTCAAATGCCTTAGGCACTACACTACCAGAGCTCCTCTAGGATATACTAGGTTAAAGAAAATACAGTCTTAAAATGTATTTCATCATTCTTTTTTTTTTTTTTTAATAAGGTCACTAGAAATTCAAAATTGCTTATGTGGCTTATGTCTCCACTGGGTGGCCTGCTGTAGCCCATTGGGAAACAGGCAGAAGCCACATTCTTATTGAAACAGGTGAGGGGAATGCCACTGGAAAGCACACAGTGGGCTGGGCACTGTGCTAATCATGCCATCTGTGAGGTCGTTGTCAACCTTCCCATGTGCCCAGAAATCGGACACTCACGCCATCATGTTACAGATAAGAAAACCAACACACAGCAAGGGGAGCAGCTCAGACAAGGCCACGTGAAGAGGAACGGACAAAGCTAAGGCTAGAACCCAGGTCTGTCAAGGGCTACTACCCGAATTTCCTTGGGAGCCAGGCAGGGAGTGGTGGAAGCATGACAGACAGACGCTCCTGGCACAGGCTGCGGAATGGTTTCTGAGAGCTCACGGAAGCGTCATCTCCATGGAGCAGCACTCCAAGGGCTAGAGCAGCTGAGCCCTCCATAGCCCTCTAGTGTGACAACAGAACTGTGGGCTGAGGGCTGACACCCTCAGTGAGGTCCATCTCTCTAAAGCAGGTCCAGTGTGGGAGAGCCACATCTGTCTTCCAGGATCCAAGGCAGCCTGTGTTTGCCTGGTTCATAACCTCCACCACTGCCTGAAACTGCCTCTACCTCCATCTAAGAGCAAAAGCCCAGTGAGGTAGGAAAGGCTCTCATTCACCCACAGATGTCCAGCCCCTGGACCGGGCCTGGCAGGCAGAAAGTGCTCATAACTAGCTGGGTGAATAAGCGATGGACTGAATGAATGAACAAATGAAAGTCCACACCAGGCCACTCACACACATTGCTCCTATCAGTGACCTAAGAATGGCACCAGGTTCCTGGAACAAGAGAACTACAACTTGGGGCCAATGCTGGATGCTCCCCAAAACAGCTGCACTAAGCCCAGGCCGAGAGACAGGAGGGATGCTTTAGGGAGACAAGGGGACCACCCTCCCAACAGCTGCCCATGAACCCAAAGGACAGAAGTAGGGGTTCTACTCGAATCTCACTCCTGGGCTGTCCACCACTGCCTGGCTGCAGATCGAAGCTTAAAAATTCACACCTCCCTTTCTTCCCACGCAGGGTCCAGATAGGACATGGCATTTCCTGTTTGTGCTTTGTAAACTGCCATAATGGCGAAATATCAATACCACGTCCATGGAGACAGGATGCTATGAAATCTTGCTTTTCAGTGAAAGGAGTAGGGAAAAAAAGCATGAAAAATTTATTAAGCTCGGGCTGCTGGGACCAAATCACCAGTTAAAGATTCAAATTCATTCCCCTTCCCAGTAATTTATGATTAACGTTTGCAATAACTGCAGTCACCAGGAGCTCATTGGAGGAGGGCCCACTCTTAATGTCACAGAATAATATTATTGCACCGTGCACAGCCACACATCCCAGACGAGCATTTCCACGTGAGAGGACTTACACGTTATGGCTAGGTTCAAGACAGCAGTCACAACAGGAGCTGCAGAGAAGGAGGGGAGCACACACCCTGGCCCTGCCTGAGTGGCTCTGTGGGAATGGTCAACACAGGGCGTGCACCCCAAATCCCCTGGGGTGCCAGGATCCCAGGTCAAGGAGAACATCCTGCTTCCACAATGAGGAGCAGCTTGTCCCCAGTATCAGTGGCACAAGGCACATATGGGCTCGGTCCTCCTGGAGTCCTCAGTCTGGCTGACCGCTTGGGATGTTTCTAGAGGGCAGAGCTCCAGCTTCAGGAGAACAGGCAGGTCTAGTGCTGGGATGAAGTCCTAACCCCTATGACTGCCCTGCTGAGGTGACCCTCTTTGGAAATATGGCTTTTCTTTTGTTGTTAATGAGGGCATACCAGAGAAGGATGAGGTCTAAACCAAATCCCTTCTGAGTTTTAAACACACACATACACACACACACAGAGGAGATGATACACACCTAAAGACACCAGAACCAGCAGAGTGGCCCACAGAAGGAACAGATACTGCCAATTTGGACTTTCTGCCTCCAGAACTGTGAGAAAATAAGCCCTTTAAAGCTATCACTTGGCAGTATTCCTGCTATGGCTGCCCTGCGTAAACAAGGTAAAGGGATGCAGGTGGAAGAGACCCAGGCCCTGACCTCAGGAACCACCAGTCTTGCAGGGACAGACAACTAACCACTGAATGACAGTGCACTCGACAGACAGCTAAATGAGATGTGAGTGCTTGGAGGAGGTGGGGACAGGACGGGACACTGACACTTGTAGGCAGAACACAAGAGGTTCACAGAGTGGGTGACACCTGAGCCAGGACTGAACAGATGAAGACTCGAAGGTGCAGAAGGCTGGGGACAGAAAAGGCAGTCTCCAACCATGCATTCAGCTGGCATGCAAGGCCAGGGGTATGATGGGTCAGGCCAGGCTCAGATTCCCTCAGGCACCTCCTTCTATCTGAGCCACTGTCCAGAACCCCTCAGCCTCTCTGAGCCTCAGTTCCTCCCCTCAGGATGGTTGAACATGACCCTCACAGGGCCGAGATGGGCCTGACCCAGGCCTTGTCCCTCAGGGGCCCCTGTGCCTTTGAGTTTGCCTTTCCAGAAATTTCCAGTCAGAGTGGGCAGTGGGACCCAGGATTGGTAGGGTTCTTGCCCTGGTGGCCCCACTTTTCCCTTGCAAGGTGCCTCCAGCTTTCTAACCCACACAAGGTTGACCAGATGTCTGGAGGACCTCAGGGACCCCCCCATCCCCATCAATGGGGTCACCCAAGGCTGTACTTTCAGAAGGTGACAGGCAGACACCCCAACTGGTGACAAAGTACAACATGAGTTGGGGTGCCACAGTAGTGCCAACATGCAGACTTTTGGACTCAAATTGTTCTGTAAACAGGGAGCTTGCAAAAAATATCTGCCTATGGCATTCACACCCTCAAAGTAAGAGTGAGTGCTGCCCTCAAGGCAGCCCAAGTGTGAGGGTGAGAGCTAAGACGTGCTTGGTGCCTAGTCCGGCATACCGGGCACAGCAGGTGCTAGTGAACATTCTAATTCTCATCCTAATTTTCATTCCCAGTTTGTGTGACAAGATGATGAGTCTCCCCCAAAGGAGTATGCCATTTAGCCAGAACAAAGAGAGGCACTGCCACAAAGCAGGAAAGGCCCTAGCTGGCATACCAGGAAGCCACAACTTACATTCTCCACCAGGGAAGGGGTCAGTGGGAAGCCCAGGCCAGGTACCACCAGGGAAGACTCTAGGGCTGGGCAAACCCGTCTCCTCACCCAAGGGTAGGGGCGCCCTGCCCCTCCCACAGCTCCTCCTCAGGGAAGCTGCCCTACTCCCTTCCCTGAGCAGCAGGCATGTGAACCCAGCCCCTGGCCACCATTGCCCGCAACAGTCAATCAAATTGTTTGTTTAGGAAGCACCTCTGTGAAGAAACCCTATGGAAACTCTATAGGACCTACTCTGTCCTATAGGGTCATTATGATGGGTTGCTATGTGTTGGAATCGACTCAATGACACCAGACAACTCCCTACCCACAGCATCCAAGAGCCAGGCTGAGTCCTCCCAGCCTGGGAGGCAGATACCCAGCCTGAGCCTGCCTCTGCACCAGGCCTTGCCAGTGCTCCCCAAAGCTGTGTAGAAATGACCCCTGGACAAAGTCTAACCTTGCACCAAGAGGACAACTCCCATCAACCCCTCTGAGATGCTGTGCAGCCTCCTAGAAGGAAGAGGGTGGAAAATTTGGAACCATACATCATCTATCTGCGATCTTTCAAAGCATGTGCAAGAGTCAGGCTGCGGCCAGCCAGGTGGATGGTCTCTGGGCGGGAACAGCCACGAGTTTGACTGTCATGTTTCCTCATGGCTCCCAGACGCCCCAAGAGGCCTCCCTCTTCCCTCCCTGGCTCTTCCCACCAGCCTCCTTACTCAGCCAACTCTTCCAGGCTGCGGTAGACATCATCATCATTTTCTGCTGTCTCCTCTGAGGGAAAAGGCCTGTGGAAGAGAAGTCGAAAGTGAGGTTAACAGTCTCAGGGCACTATTGGCACCTGCCACCCCCGCCTGCAATCCATCAAAGGCCCTGGAGGGTGCCCTGAGGCTCGGCCCCAGGAGCACAGGCCTTGGTATGCTCTCTCCCTCTCTCTCTCTCTCTCTCTCTCTGGTGGAAGGAAGTACGGTCCAGATTGTCCTGATGCTTATGCTACAGCATGAGCGAGCCAGGCAGGTGGAGAGCCAGGAGCTGGGCTTCAGGAGCACCCAGGCCTCCTGCAGCCCCAGCTGCTGGAAGACACACCCTCTCTTGGGACCTCATCAGCTCCAGTGGCAAACGAGGGACCAGGGTGGGAATGGGAAGCCTTGATCTCAGGTAACAGCTCTGCCTCCTCCTTAACTCCACTCACACTTCAGGGGAATTCTGGAAACAGGATGTGGACACCCCAGGCATCATCCACAGATTTGGGCAGGGTGTCAGGTGTCAGTTCTCTGCACCCAAAAAGCAGCAGCAAGAAGGGATGCTGGTGGGAGAACAGTGCTTCTGGGGCACGGGGGGGGGGGTGTCTTCTGAGTGAGAGGAGAATGGTGGCACACACCCACCACTGTGTCCTGATGCTTGCAAGTTTCATAAGCATGCTAGCCCCCATCCAGGCCTGGTGTTGGTCAGCAATTGTTGGAACAGTGCTGAGGCTTCTGTCTAGTGCTGCCTTCTACAAAGACCCAGACAGGAGCCGGAAGCTCAGGAGCCACGCTGTGACCCTACCCAGAAAGAGGATGAAGGTGGGGATGAGTAAGTGGCTGGGGTCTCCCAGGAAGTGGCCATCAGGGCAAGTGGCGATCAGGAGAAGTGGGTCTCTCTTCTCACACCTGCATGGCCATCACCCCCACACCTGTCCTGCCCTCAATGAGCACTGACTTCCCACCCTCTGGGTCTTTCTCATGGGCACCAACAAGCAGTAAACTGCCCGATGTCACAAGTCTCTGCCCCACCCACAGCAATGAGGCCTCTGGGAGGGGCCCTGCCCCCAGAGAGTGGGTAGGGATAGGTGCCTGGCACCAGGAGAAGACCCAGGCAGGGCTTCATTCTGTTTCCTCTGCAGATAGCTGTGTGGCCACCACAGATAGGCTCCCCTGCGTGGGCTAAGCATGGCTGGTCTGCACAGAGCCCAAAATGCCACAGGCTAGGGGTAGGTGGGGGAGCTTGGTGGCACAGTGCCTAAGGCATTTGACTGCTAACCAGAAGGCTAGAGGTTCAAACACACCAGCCACTCTTCAGAAGGACAGTTGAGCAATCTACTTCCGTAGTAATACTGCCTCGGAAACCCAAGGAGAGGTCGCTATGATTTGGATCCGACTGGACAGCAGTGGGTTAGTGGGTGGTGACAGGGCCTGTGCAGAGCCTGGGGCTACTGCCACATCCAAAGCAACAAGCCAGAGTTGCTCACCTCCAGAAGAGAAGAGAAACAATCATTTCTTCAAGCCAAACGTCCCGTCAGAAACCTATTACCAGGGACCTCACAGGAGAAGGGATCTCAAAGGCTCACACCAGATGCTCCGCAGGGTGTCCTTGTGCCTGGGGGTCAGGCTGACACTCGACTAACCTGGCAGTGACGCTCTGGGGACACTCTCTGCACCCTTCTCTGGCCAGGCTCAGGACAGGCACTCCATGGAGTGAGAGCTATGGAAGCCCACAGCTGGAAACCTAGATCCCATATAGTTCTGTCCTCAACTACTGCACAGCCCTGGGCCTGAGATCCCCAAAGCAGATCCTGTCCAGTGTTTCATGTCTCCCTTGGGCTTCATGTCTTCCTGGCAGTAGCCCGTGTCTCAGAGGCATGTTTTACATGGGCCACAGCTCTCTCTTTCCACACCCTCCCGGTCCTTTCTGGTCCCATCCTTATCACTAGGCACTGGAGGTGTGGGTACTTGGGCCACAGTGGCACCACAGAGCCCCCAACTCTGCCAGAAAAACTGTGAAAGAATCAACATCTTCCCCATGACATGTAGCCCCCAAAAGACCCAGACCCTACGTGGATGATAGGGTGTGACCCCAGCAGACCCAGACATCATGTGAGTGATGGGGTATGACCCAGCCAACCTATACCCTGTGTGATGTGAAATGACGGACCACATTCTGGTTCCCCAACTGACCCCAACTACCAGAGGATGAACCCCACGTGGCTGTACAGGTGGGAAGGAGCCCTGCTAGGCCAGTGGCTAAAGAACTTGGCTGATAATTGAAAGATTGGTGGTTCGAACCCACCAGCTGTTCCATAGAAGAAAGATGTGGCAGTCTCCTTTCATAAAGACTGACAGCTTTGGAAACCCTGTGGGGCAGTTCTACTCTGCCCTATTGAGTCACTATGAGTCAGAATTGACTCAACAGCTGTGGATACAGGTAGGGGTGCATGGCCACGGGGGGGGGGGGGGGGCATAGGGGCCCATGGCTGCAGAGGCAAGACGTGTGGCCCCAGAAGTGGAGGTGTATGTGGGGCTAAGTCTAGAAGGTTCTGGCTAAGTCAAGAAGTAGCTACAGTCCCAGAGGTGGAACATTTCCTCCCTTCGGGAGTCAGACACAACTGCTAGGACAAGACCCCCGCCACCCCATCTCCTATGCCACTGTTTCCGCTCAGCATCAGCTGCCTATCTCCAGCCACCTCGTCATCTTTCTGCTTCATCCACATTCCCAATGATGAGTAGGTGCTACTTCCACATAAGAAGGCCATGCAATCCCTACCCTCACTTCATCATAAAAAAGATTTTCTCACTTCTTCATCAGACGTCCAGAAGTCCACTCACATCCCACGAACTGTGTGTTAAAATGACACCAAAGCAAATTATTGGTGCTCTCAGATGCAGGGCATGAAGAGGGGAGGAAAAAAAGCCTCAAACATTCTGAAGTACCGAAGACATGAATGTGCTCAAAGTCTGACGTGGAGTTTGTGGGGGGGCGGGGCGGGGGCGTTGACACAGGGGTCCAGGGAAAGGGGCCATCACTTTAGCCCTGGGGAGGCCCAAAGGTATAGGCCACTCAATGGCTGCCTGTCTGGAAACCCAGCCTGGTCAGCAGTCAGGGGTTTGCACACAGTGGGTAAGGCCATTCACTGCAGCAATGTGTGAGAACACAGACAGGGAGCAAATACCCAGGAGCAGGAGTTACCTAAACCCAGCCGGCATGCCCATCAGCATGCCCATCCGACAGAGCTGCCATGCCAGGAAGAGACGGGCTCTAGAGAGCATTTGATGATCCGAAAACACTCCCAACACATGCCAACAAGTGGCACTAGCTTGATTCAGTCCAATAAATTTGAATATATAATAAGTACCTGCACACACACACATGCACATGTGTGAGTACACAGCATTCACACACATTCAAGAGTAAATGACGTGAGGTCTGGGAGATTCAAGATGAATTCTCTTCTTCTGTTTTATTATGGATTGAATGAATTGTGTGCTGCCAAAATGTGGGTGGAATTCCTGACTCCTGTCCCTGTCACTATCACCTCATTTGGAAACAGGGGTTTTGTCATGTTAATGAGGTCACACCAGAGGCAGGCAGGTGCTAAACCGAATCCCATCTGAGTGGTGTTTTATACAAAGAACAGACTAGACCCAGACACGCAAGCACAGGGGGAGACAGATGGGAAGGATCCACAGGGGCTGGCAGCAGGGAGTGACCCTCTCCTCGAGACGACGCCCCAATGTGGACTCTAGCCTCCACAATGCAAGACAATAAATTCCTGTCCTTTAAAAAGTCACCTTGTTGTTGCTGTTAGTTACCGTCGAGTCAGTTCCAGTTTGTGGTGACCCCATGTGTGCAGAATAGCACTGCTCCATAGGGTTTTCGTTCTTTTTTTTTTTAACTTTTTATTTTAATTTGGGTGAAAGTTGACAGAGCAAATCTGTTTTCCATTCAACAGTTCATACGCATTTAGTGTTGTGACACTGATTGCAGCCCCACAATGTAACAGCTTTCTTGCCACTTCCTCCCTGTGGTTACCATTTCCCTGTGTCCTTCTTTCCTCATTCCTGTCTTCTGAGCTTTGTCCTTGCACAAACGCTGCCCTTCTGATCTCTCATGGTTGATTTCTTCTAAGGAGTGTACCTACCTGGTGTAATTGTTCACCTCGTAGGCCTGTCCATTCTTTGGCTGAAGGTTAAGCCACAGGAGTGAGTCCAATTCCAGGCCCAAAGGGTGACTAGAGGCCACAGTTTTGGGGACTTCACCAGTCTGTATCAGATCAGTAATCCTGGTCTTTTTTATGATTTTGAGTTTTGTTCACATTTTTCTCCCACTCTATCCAGGATCTCCAATTTTAATTCCTTTCCAAGTGGATAGCAGTAGTAGCCAGGCACCACCTAGTTCTGGTCTCAGGGTCATGTAGGCTAAGGTTCTCAGGGTCCACTAGTCCCTTGGACTAATTGTTTCCATGTGTCTTTGGTTTTCTTCACTTTCCAAAGGCTGTGAACTTTAGGAGGCAGACTGCCAGATCAGTCTTCTGAAGTGCCTCTGGGTGGGTTCGAATCACTAACCTTCCAGTAAGTAGTTAAGCATTTACCTGTATGCGCCACCCAGGTACTCTAGTACAAAACACAGATGTTGCTAAAAGCACAGTGCTCACACTCAACTTCCCTGCCTACGAGCAGGTGGAAAACCCTGTCTGCTGCTCCCACTCTGAATTCTCATCACATCCAAAGCCCTATGTGATCTCCCCTGGTGGGAAGATCCACCCAAGGTCTCAGACCCACAGGCAGCATCACTGGGGAGCCTGACAGAGATGCCAATTCTCAGCCCCCTCCCCAGGATGGCCAAGGTTGAAGCCAAGGAATCTGGGTTTTACCAGGCTTCCTGGTGATTCCTAAACCCGCTGGGAATTGCAGTGCTTGCTCTGAAGTCCACTGCTCAGTAGTTGCTCGGGAGGGTTGTTGGGTCTGTCTTTGCCATGGACTCACTAGGTGGGGTGGCAGCAACTTCTTCTTTGTAAAAGAACATTGGTAGG